GTATATCCCCTAATCTCTCATCCTCAAAGGATATATCACGATGGACTTCATTGGCTAATGCTTCCGCTGCTTCTTCATTACCATTTAGCACTGTGGACAGACATTGTATTGTATTTGTTAAGGTATCACCTACACTAATGGTGACTGATTCGCCAAGAGTATTTGTAAAATTTGGTGATTCCTCGCCACAAATGGATTCACGCAATTCGGGAAACTAAATGTAAATAGTAATATTTAAAGGTTTGAGATTATATATTATATTTAATAGAGTATTGAGATTGAGATATTTTTTGTTATATTATAACTTAATATTATGGTGACCAGATTTCTATTGCTTTAAAGATGGACAATTTTATATAAGATCAGACAAGTACTTTAATAAAATGTTTAGTTTAGTTACCGTTGTTTTTTTTCCTTAATTTGTATTTTTAACAACAATAAAAATGAAATTTAAAATCAAATTATTAAAAAATCATTTTAATATCGTTAGTTTTTTTTCAAAACACAATAAATATTGTATATAAAAAAGATATATCTGATATCAAAAAAAGAAAAAGAAATAAAAAAAAAAATTAATAAAAAAAAAAATAAATAAATAATTATTCATTTAAAAAAAAAAAAAAATAATTATTTTCAAAAGAATAATTAAAATAATTTACATTGATTAAGTACGTTTATAGAATATAAATTAATAGAGTAAAAAAATCCCAAAGAAGCGGAATACGCTGACTATGACAGATCTTTTGTGCTAAAGTATGTTACACAAAGTAGAGATAAATTATAATCAAAAACATCGTGACATCTTCTTGAATTGGCAAGACACTAGACAACATATGAAAATAAGGGAGTTCCCCTTTAAAATATATTCATTACTATACTTATTATACGAACTAATGTATAAATAGACTTAAAGAAAGTACAGAACTTTATTATCACAAATTTTAACACTAATCGAGGCAATTTTTAACCCACGTATGTAATTCATTTTAACGTATAGATATAATTAATATGTTTATAAGACACATCTACATATCATGTACTCACTAAATTTCCAACATCATGTTTGATAGTTTCTTGTATCAGTACATCTGCTAGGGTCTTGAAATCATGTTCAAATCGCGCATTTGCTTCAGTTCCACTTTTTTCTTGAACTAATAACGACAGAAGTTGTTCATTTGATCGACATATACGGGCAATATTAGCTGCTTTTTCCGAAGCATTTATGAGGCTTCTTAGTAAATTACGTTCTGTATCGTTTTCACCCATATTTAATAATGAAAGTAAAAAATTTTAATTATAAACTTTAATTAACCTAGATGAAAATTCATTAATTTCATTACTTTATTGAATGTAATTAGAAAGTAACTTACATATAAAATAAATGGTCTGCAGTTTCCTGAGTAAAGTTTTGCTATTTATAAAATAAATAATTTAATTGTTTATATTATGAGAAGAAAATGTATACTAGTAGATACAAAACTAACCAACTTAAGAGAAATAAGAGAAGTGAAAGTTCGTAATAATGTAGCCTATTTTTTGGTGTCAAAATAGTGTTGGTAAATGGTTACGCACTTAAAAAAACATTTGCAAGCATTAATTTTAATTTACTTAAGTCATTTTTACTAAATTTATGGTTTTTAAATCTTAATTTCAATTTCAACTAAATTTGAATATTGTATCTTTAAGTTAGTTTAAAATATATAAATAGTTTTATATTTTTCTTATACAATTTTATACAAATAAAAATACATTCTCTAATATTAAATTTTAATAATATGTTTTTTATTATTACTAGGAAAAGGTCATTAATTTAACACATAAAAATGAAAAATGTTTTAAAAAAAAAAATTTATACTTATAAATTTGATTTAAATATTTAATATTTAAATATTTAATTCTAAATTTTTATAAAAAAAAAATTTATGTGTTATTTTTTATTTAAAAAAACATTTTTAATTTTTATGTGTTAAATTGACGACCTAGCACAGTAATAATAAAAAACTTATTAAAAGTTTTAAACTAATTTACGAATAATTAAATTCAAGAAGACCACTGATGGTGCATATTCGGCGATATTTGAAACAGCTGTATAGTCAGCCAAACATTCAATTATATAAAATAATTTTAAAAGAATTTTTGTTGTTGTAGTTCATTACTTTTCGAAACCTAATTTTTGTTAAAATTCTTAATATATTTTTTAAAAAAATTATAGTGCAATATAGACAATAAAATAAAGAGGATGATGTAGATATAGTTTTAGTAATAATAATTTATGTTAGATCGTAATCAAACATTGAATTATTTAACAAAAAGTGACCTATAACCGGATAAAAAAATTTATTAAAACCATAAAGAAACAGGTCAATAAATAAATTCAAAATTTTATTTTTAAAAAAAATATTTTTTACAAATATTTCGGTCAACTTTAACTTCATTATAAATTTTTATTTTCATATAGTTTTTTATTTTCGCTCTTATTTTATTTATTTTTTAATAACAATTACAATATAGGCTGTGTGCGAGTTCGAGTATATTGAGGTTAAGTATATTATAATTTCTTTGGGATTTTTTGCACTGCACTTATGTAAATATTTTTGTATTTATTTATTGCATTTATTTATTATTTTTGGTTAAAAGTTTTCAAACTTATTTATTTATTTATTAAATATCTTTTAAAATTTTCGCAATGGTAACACCTAATTTACCTTATTTTTATCTAATTTACCCCACTCAAAATTTTGGTTAATACCAACATTCGCTGCTTACTATTTCCCTTAATTTACCATTAATTTATTCGTACTCACACACGGTCAAAAAATATATAACGAGCTACCAAATAATTATAAAAATTTCTTTAGGTAGTACATTACTGGCGTCATAAACTGTATTTTAATTTTTATTTGTTTTTGTACACTGAAAACGGAACAAAGATGTAAACAAAATACGAAAATTCTCCAAAACGAAGTTAAAAATCTCTACGGTTGGAGCTGAACTCTCGTCGTTTGGGGAGCGCAGCAGCTGATTTTATTTACACCGTCCAATCAGTTTTCAAGCATTCAAGTGAGCGGTTGTACGTAGTCGGTATTTCTGTTGCGCATAACACGTATTTCGTTCCGTTCTTCTCATTGGACTTTCGTGCTGGAGCAGCCAATGCATCGCATTAAATTGTGTTTTGTTTGATAAAAGTTTAACGCCTTTTGTTGTTTACACAAATAGAAATATAATGAATTTTTATCAATTTGTTAATGCACAATTCAGCTCACAATTTATTTAAATAGTTTAAGTTATTCAAAAGTTATTCAATTAGTAATTTTTGCAACTACGAAGAAAAACTTTGCAATCCGCCTACAGCATTAAATAAAGCGCGGAAGTGAGAAATTATCATTAGAAAGTGTAAAAAAAATCCGTCTCGTGTTTTGCGTCTTGTTGTTTTTGTTTCTGTTTTTTTATTAAGTGAAAAATAAAATAATATAAAATTTAACAAATAAATCATTTAAATTCAAACTTAACAAAATGGATGCGAAATTCATAAATGTCCTTATATTGGGCTTCGGTTTTATGTTCGTCTTCACATCGTTCCAAACGATGGGAAATATTGAAGTAAGTTTAGTGCTTTAGTATCAAATGTACGTAATTGTATGGAAACCTTGTCCTTGAAACGAAATAATCCTTGACACACCACAAGGATAATACGTAGTAGAGAAAATTTTTATTTCATTGATAGCAGACAGGTTAGGACGTAGGCGAATTTATGGTTTAGGGATTGGTAGTGCATTGGATTTATTTGCTTCTTATCTAATGTGTACTTTAAATATTTATTAGGAAACTTTTTACATTTTCTTATTTATTTATTTGACATGTTCTTAATATAATTATTTATTCTAATATTATTGATATTGATATTAGATTTTGTTTTAATATTTAATATTAGAGATTTCGAGGATGCACCTACTTGAAAAAAAATTTCTTCTTCTTCTTATTTGGCACTACAGTGCAGTGTGAACCTTGGCCACCCTAAGTGCTGCGTAGTGGTAAAATTTTTCCGATGCAAGGTTGCTGGCCTTGCGATTAACCCCCAACCTGGAGGGCCAGATCGCCTTATTTGCTAACCTGGAGATAGGATTAGTGTTTAGTAGTTAGAGAATTTCCGCTCAACTACGAGCGAGGCCAGAGCTTCGTATGTGGAGAACAGGGTAGGTGAAATTGACAGTTGAGAATGTTAGGCTATATATATATATATGCATCATTCTTCCATTGGAGCACTCGCTTTATCCGCTTACATTCTGAAAAAATTTAATACAGCAAATATTATCTGTTAAATGTTAATTTTTTCTTGCCGAGAGTGACGCAAAGAAACTATTTAAAAGTTAGACGAATTCGAATAGCAAAGAAAATACAAGAACAAAAATTTAGTTAATTTATTGAAATTTGGCTGACCAAATATATATATATTATCTGTTAAATCAATCTGCTAAAATTTTTTAGAATTCAAAAAAAAATCCTGTTTATATTTTTCTTTTACTAATATAATATAATATCACCAGAGAAACTGTTTTTTTTATCTTCATTTGTTTTATTTTTTTAAACGAGGAAAGTAAATAGTAAATAATCATGAAATTAACATTATAAAGATATTTTGCAAACGAATACATACTCTACGTAATATATTATGGTTATATGACAATTATATTCGTAGTACACAAACTACAAGTTGCGCAGAATTTCCGAAGATTGGCCATGGTACATCCGCGCGTATGAAATGTTTAAAGACCATAGAATAGATTTGGTCAAAAAATACATAAGGGACAGAGCACTGAAGCTATATGTGAAAATCTACAGGCTACCCTACTTAGCACTGTCTAATCTCAGAGTAATCACTAACCGAACGACGCGGTACGCAGATCTTAGATCTTAGGAATACACAAATTAGTCAATGAGAAGGGTGGGACTCAGCAGAAACTCCCCAGCTATCATAAAGTAAAAGTGCTCAGATGTACTAACTCGGAAAAGGCTTAATATAACAAACAATATGGTATTACACTCACTAAATAAAATTTAGATATAACATATAATATTCGTACCGAATATGTTTCACAACCTATTTCGAGATAAATGTGACAAGTACATAATCCTTGTATGCTTGCATGCTATATGATTAAATATTATTCTGTTTATTTTAAATATAATTTTAAGTAATATTTATTAAATTTATTTAAATAATAATAAATATAATAATAATAAATTAACTATATTTAATTTAATTAAATATAAACAAAAACTTTTTTTAAAACTATAGGAATCATTTTGATAAAAATTAAAAAGATCGAGATAATTTTTTAAGAAATTTTATTAATATTTTGAAGAAAACGTTATTTACGCGTAAACTAATGTGTTAATTTTTATGTACTCGTTCTCCTTTTTTCTCTTCTTCATATTCACTATATACTTTTACAGAGATCTATCTGTGATCTCCTCTAATTTACACGATACTCCTTCTCTATTAGCTATTTATTTAAATTTCCAGACCTTTTGTTCTTTTTTTTTATAATAAATTTTCTTTTATAACATATAATATATATTTATAATATATAATATATATTTATAACATATAATATATATTTATAATATATAATATATATTTATAACATATAATATATATTTATAATATATAATATATATTTATAACATATAATATATATTTATAATATAATTTTCTTCGTTACTCAAGGTCTATCAACTAGTATTCTTTCTTCTGAAAATGATATTGTCGCCTGCTGTTGAATTTGGACAAAAAACCGTAAATTACTTATAAGAATCTATAGAAAAGAATGAAAAAATAAGGTCTATCTGAAAGAGAAAAAGTAAGTTAAATGCGGAAAAGACATCTTCATTACTAGGAATCAGAATCCAAAAACATCAATGATCAAGATCGAGCCTATAGAAAATTACATATTTACAAAGTAAAGCAAATCAAGTCAAAGTCGCATATAGAAAAAAAAAGCTCTAGTGTAAAGTAAAATTAGGCCGAATTAAGCTAGTTCTACATAGGAAACTGAGAATTCAGAAGAAAATGCTTCTTTATAAAGTAGTTATAAGACTTAGTCTTATATACTTAGATATGTGCTGCTTGTGGTAATGCTCCAGATATTACTGTAAACCAGTTACACATGTATTAAGTTCCGCTCCCTTTTGTAGTTAGTGTTTAAAACCTACACACAATCAATGCGAGATTCGTTTTTTACCTATATATTTGATATAGCTAAACCGTACTAACTATTATCTCTCGAGTATCTCGAGTACTCTTTTGCGTTTGTTGCTTATTTGCCGCTCAGTTTTAAAGCTTATTCTTCTCTCAGGCAATTGTTATAGCTTTGGTAGTATCTCTATTTCTAAAGACGTTCGCCAGCAAATTTTTCTTATTATAGTTCAGATTAATATCATGGTTGTTGGGAAACTTACTTTGTTCATATTCACAAAGTAATAATGAAATCTTAACTTAAGAAACGCTACTTAATAATCGAAGGCGATAAATTCCGAAACGTACACCTGATCGCTCCTTAAACTTTTACGTACTTCATGTCCATAGGTTTTATATAGTACAAATATATGGTTTTTCCTGATCACATTACTGAGTTGCATAAATGGATTGATTTTATAATAAATTTGAGTAGTTTTATTTTTAATGCTATTACTCTCACACCAATGATAATATTAATCGTTTGATAGTATAATAATGTTTACTTTCTTCATAAGACTGACAATTTCTTTTTATTATTATGTTGAGGCTAGTTGAGTCAGTGCACCTGAGCACTTTTACTCTCTATTAACTGCGAGGTTTCTTCAAAACCCCTCTTTGCGCCTTGACTAGATTATTGTTTATCACTTCATTAAACTAAGCAATAATTAACCTTAGATTTGCATACCTCCCCGAGGAGCCTGTAACCATTCTGAGATTTGATAACGCGATGTTGGTAAGTCTGTCAGATTTCGCAAATAATTTCAGGGCTCTATCCTTTATGTATTTTTTGATGGGATCAATCTTGATGTTTTGGTATTTTCCATTTGCATACAAATTTCTGCTAAGATTTTTATTATTTGTTCAATAAGTTTCCCTTTGTGCTTTATAAGTCGACTTGTATTGTTCATTAAGTCTCTGCAGACATAGATTATCATAACCTTAGCAATTTTCGCTTGAAATTTTCTTTCTTTTAATAAGTTTTCTAATACATAGGCAATAGGCAATACAAAATAATATTAGCAGATATAAAAGTACTCATTTCCGAATTTAATTAAATTTAAAATTTATTCAAAATTATATTAAAATTATTTAGTTCAATTTCTATTTCCATTACAAGCGATAAACACGCCTTGAAAAATAATCAAAAATTCCGAGAAAAATACTTAATGAGTCATTCCTTAGGGAAAAACGTTTCATAATCAAACTTTATTGTAATTTTGTACAGAAATCATCTATTAATAAATGATGTTCCATATAAATCGAAGAATCTAATATTATTATTAATTAAATTTTCTCTAACTTACATAGGCTACAAAAGGCCATGCCTCAATTAAACAAAGCAATCAATAGGTATACTACTCGTACGTGTATAAATTTTCATTAACGCTTCCTGTATAAAAGCGTTTGGCATGAGAGAAAAAAATTAAATTAATTAATAAAAAAAAATTGCACAATTAATAGTCGTAAAATTAAACAGCATAAATTGTATCGCATTTAGATAAGATTTAAGTGCTACTAAACTGATTTAGGCCGCCTAAATTTCTTTGAACTTATCTTATCAAATCAATCGCTGATGACCTCTGAATTGCTGTTGTACGCAATATTGTTTCGAGCTACTAAATATAGATTTAATAAAATTTTGTTATTTATTACTGTAAGGATTTTTTATACCCTTTACACTACGTGAAATAGAGGTATATTAAGTTTCCTAAAATATTTATAACGACAATCATTATCATTATTTCATATATATAAAATGACTATGACTTACAAAGAAGTGATATCTTAAGATTAGATATAAGATTATATCTAATTATTATTTATTAGATATAGATATTAAATACTAGATATTAGATATTTGCGTATTCGTGCCAATATCAACATTTACACCCCGAGACAACTATAACCCATTGTAATGACTTTAAAGTAATATTTTATAATTTTGCAAAATTTTGCTTAGATAGGTTGAGGTTTAATATTAGTTGCCATAAAAAGAAATGGTTTAAAAACAAGTTATTGTATAAACTAACATGGTTAATGTTCTCCATTTAAGTTGTGATTTCACTTCTCTTATATATTTATACTATTAAATATTGAATGTGAGAGTAATATTGCCTATGGGCTGCTTTTAAGCGCAGTGAACCTCCTGTATAGTTTTTGCAGTAGCACTTCTAAAAGTTCCCAGTTGCCAAGTGTAGAGCGACTAGAGACATTGCTCTGTAATGTCTTACCCCTCAAAGTATTTAAGAATTATTGCTATGAGTAAAAGAAACCAGTTTAGAGGTAAATATCTGTTTCATTTGTATAATACCATTTAACAATTATCAAATGTTAACCATATTGTTTTATATATTTTCAAGCG